TTATTCCTAGGAATTTTTTTAAATAAATTTTTATTGTTCATATTATTACAAATATCCCTTCCCCCCCACACCATTGCTCTCCTCCACCAGGTTCCCTGCCTTTCCTCTGAGTTCCTGGCCTGCCATTTCCTCTCCCCCATCAGAAAGTAGAACCTAATTCTCCTATCATTGGATATGGACAGGCTTGTGTCTTGCTTGTAGCTAATAAACTACAGTTGACATGGCTCTATGTGAAGTCCAAGACTAAGTCACATAAGGCAATGCAATGAGGCTCTGCCTTGCTCTTTGAAGCCTTCAGCTGCCATTCCACTGCAGCTTAAGTATTAACTATTTTAATTAACAACTAGAGGGTCCTGAGGCTGCCATGCTGTGAGGAAGCAGAAAGTAGCCCATGCAGAGACCACATGGATAGGCCAGAAGGCACCCAGTCAGTGCCCAGGTGCTCTATCCCCCAGTGGTCCAGCTTGGTATTAGAGATGCCAAGTTAGAAGAACCCAGCCAAACTCTTTCTGAATTCTTGACCCACATCTGTGAGAGATAATTAAATGATTGCTGTTCTTGTAAGCCACTAAATTTGGGAGTGATTTGTTTCATAGCAATAGTAACCGGAGCCTGGGCCACATGCTGTCCTACCACACGGTTTTGTACATGCTTTCCACCCTACTTGGACTGTAGAACACTTCCCACATCACTTTTGCCTGGCTACCTCCATCATTTCCTTTAAATCTTTGCTACCTCGCCGAAACTGTTTTGGCTCAGTGGATAGAGCATCGGCCTGCGGACTGAAAGGTCCCGGGTTCGATTCCGGTCAAGGGCATGTACCTTTGTTGTGGGCACATCCCCAGTAGGGGGTGTGCAGGAGGCAGCTGAGCAATGTTTCTCATTGATGTTTCTGACTCTCTATCCCTCTCTCTTCCTCTCTGTAAAAAAAAAATCAATAAAATATATTTAAATAAATAAATAAATATTTGCTACCTCTACCATGGTTCAGGATGCTAATAAAGGCCCTCATAATAAACTCCTTCCTGAGTTTATCATATTTACATTTGGAGATTTAAAAAAATTTTTTTTAATATATTTAATTTTTTACAGAGAGGAAAGAGAGGGATAGAGAGTTAACAACATCGATGGAGAGAAACATCAGCCAGCTGCCTCTTGCACACCCTCTTCTGGGGATGTGCCCGCAACCAAGGTACATGCCCTTGACCGGAATTGAACCTGGGACCTTTCAGTCCGCAGACCGACGCTCTATCCACTGAGACAAACGGGTTTCGGCTGGAGATTTTTTTTGTCTTTCGGTGAGTTTTCAGCTCCATAGACCATCCTTAGTCCATGCAGTTACACAGTAGGCCAGGCATTGCAAACTTAAATGTCAACACAAAGAGAAAAGTAACATAAAGGGGAGACGTGGGCAGGTTAGGGCCTGCGGTGAAATGAAAAGAATATGTCTGTCTTCAGGGAGCAGCTGCCACTCACAGGCTCTGTGCAGCCAAATCTGCCTCATTTTAAAAGAGATGATACAAACCCAGATTATTATGTAAGTGTTAGAGTGATAGCAACTAATTAAAACTAAAAACACAGTAGAAAAAAGAAAAACAACACTCTAAAATTTAATAGTCCTTCTTTTTGAAAATGACTCTGAACTTTCACTTTGTATAACCAAGGAATAGTAATTAGAGGCACAGGTTAGCCCTGGGGCTGGTGGGGTTCAAGAGGGGTCACTTAGATTTGTTTTCTCTATTTGTACCTAGAGACTGTCTGTCATATTCTCTTCCAAGGGCATGAAGACTTTTTTTTTTTTTTTTAATATATATTATTGATTTTTTACAGAGAAGAAGGGAGCGCGGGATAGAGAGTTAGAAACATAGATGAGGGAGAATCATCAATCAGCTGCCTCTTGCACACACCCCTACTGGGAATGTGCACTTAACCAATGTACATGCCCTTGACCGGAATCGAACCTGGGACCTTTCAGTTCACAGACCGATGCTCTATCCACTGAGCCAAACTGGTTTCGGCTAGATTTTTTGATTCTTGCCAAATAATAAAAGACGTATTTATTTTTCTTTAGGAAGAAGATGGAAGTAAGAAACTGTGACAATGAAGTTACACTAAATTCTGTGTGTTCCTTCCTAGAAGATAAATTATATATGTTTGTAACAAGGAATGGTACATGCAAAGCTCATAAAAGCCCTGTGAGATATATCAATCAGGAGCAAGCAGATGTACAATCCTTAGTTCATCCTAGCTTGATGCCTGTGTCGGTGACCAGAGCTGTTTCATGCCTGAGGCACATTAAAAAAAAAAAGCCCTGTGAGAAGTGATTTTTATCTAAAAATTATAGTTATTTATTGTATCTATTAGAAATAGGAAAAAAAAGTGAGCTATCACAAAATAAAAAAGTGAGCTATTAGCCATGAAAAGACATGGAAGAAACTTAAAAATGCATATTACTAGGTGAAAGAAGCCAATCTTAAAGGACTATACTGGCCTATTCCAACTATGTACATGACGTTTGGAAAAGGCAAAACTATGGAGACAGAAAGATCAGTGGTTGGGAGGAGGGAGGGGAACAGCCTGCTGTAAGGATGCCTGGCCCGTAGAACGGCAGGTGATCTATCACTTACAGGAGCAGACAGTAGCCTGAGTTGCTCAGAACCATCACACTCAGGACATCACTACAGTAAGGAGAGACCTTTCACTCTTCAGATGAGGAAGATGCAACAGGGTATCAAGCTCTACAAATTCTTATGATCTCTGGGTAAGTTAGGAAATGGTTGTTTCTAATCATTTAACTAACAAGGAAACAGAGGTCCAACTGTACTGCGGTCCAAGTTATAAAATAAAATCCAAAGCCTGTATTTGAAAGAAAAAAAAATAGAGGGACCTCCCCCTCAATGTATAGAATAAGGGAAGAATTTTTTAAAAAATATATTTTTTATTGATTTTTTACAGAGAGGAAGAAAGAGGGATAGTTAGAAACATCAATGAGAGAGAATCATCTATCAGCTGCCTCTTGCACACCCCCTACTGGGGATGTGCCCACAACCAAGGTACATGCCCATGACTGGAATCGAACCTGGGACCTTTCAGTCCGCAGGCCGACGCTCTATCCACTGAGCCAAACCGGTTTCAGCATAAAATAAGGGAAGAATTTTAAGATTGGAAGACAAAAGCCCATCACCTGAACCCTCATGGGTGATAGTAAAATGGGTCAGAACACCACCTTCTACCGTTACACCTTTGAAGAGATTGTGTGATTGTACAGGGATCCCAGCCTTGGGTTTAGGGAAACACCTCCATGTCTGCTCCTTCACTTACATGATCTATGGAATCAGACTGCATGGAAGTTAGAAAGAAAAACAATCGCCTTCAGCAGAGGGCTGGACAATGTTTGTTGTTTAGTACTGTCATGGCTGGGCACTCAGGGACAGTTAAAGTCCTTGGGCTGCTATTGGTGTTCTGGGATTCAGTTTCCATGAGTTTACAAAGTCCTGGCCCATGGAAAGGAGTCCTCTGTGACTCGGGAAAAGTCCCAAAGCATTGTTTGGAGGGACCCCTTTAGCCACAGGACCTCATATTATGAATTTATACAAATTAAGCTATATTGCTTTGGAAAGATTGAACAATAGTTGGATTAAAAGAGAAGCAGAGACCAGCCAGCATGGCTCAGTAATTGAGCGTTGACCTATGACTCAGGAGGTCACTTTTTTTTTTTTTTAAACATATTTGATTTTTAACAGAAAGGAAGGGAGAGAGTTAGAAACATTGATGAGAGTCATTGATCAGCTGCCTCTTGGATGCCCCATACTGGGGTTGTGCCTGCAACCAAGGTACATACCCTTGACTGGAATCGAACCCTGAACCCTTCAATCTGCTGATGCTCTATCCACTGAGCCAAACTGGTTTCAGCAGGAGGTCATGTTTTGTTTTGTTTTTTAATATATTTTATTGATTTTACACAGAGAGGAATTGAGAGTGAGTTAGTCGATGAGAGAGATACATCAACCAGCTGCCTCTTGTACAACCCCCACTGGGGATGTGGCTCAGTGGATAGAGCGTCAGTCTGTGGACTGAAGGGTCCCAGGTTCGATTCCGGTCAAGGGCATGTACATTGGTTGCGGGCACATCCCCAGTGGGGAGTGTGCAGGAGGCAGCTGGTCGATGTTTCTCTCTCATCGATATTTCCAACTTTCTATCTCTCTCCCTTCCTCTCTGTGAAAAATAAAATATATATATATATATATATATATATATATATATATTCAATATATATATATATAGAAGCAGGAGGAGGCTTGGGCATCTGTGGTCCTTCAGTTTCCTGGGCCTCTCATAATGCTGCATTCATTATTCTTTGTTGTGTGATTCTAGAGGTCCAAGATTCCCCACCCCAAATCTCAACCTGCCCTATAAGATGGCTGCTAAAACAACTTTTTGTATGTCTAGAATTGGGTGAGAGAAATAGTAATTTGGCACTTCTTGCCTTTTAACTCACTATAAAAGTTACTGACTTTATTTTTGTGTTTAACCCCTTATTAGAACGTAAGCTCCCTGAGGGTAGGAATTTTTGTCTTTCTCTTTACCACCACACTGTATTGTCAGCTCTTTGCATACAGCAGGCGTTTAATAAACATTTACGAAAGGAGGAATTGAGGGATGGTGGAAAAGAAGAAACCTAGAGGGGGGAGAAGGACTGAGAGGAAAACCGGAAGAAAGAACGCGGCGAGGAAAAATAAAGGCCCCGCCCTGCTTCTCGAGAGCAGCCCCGACCCATCTCCCAGCCGAACTACAACTCCCAGCAGCTCCCAGCGCCGAGGGCGGGACTAGGTGGCCCCGCAAGACCGGGCCCCAGCCCGCTGGGCGGCCGGCGTGCCTTGCGAGCGCCGGCGCCGGCGCCGCCGCAGAGCCCGCTGGAACTTGTGGTCCGGACCGCGGGCGGGGGAGGGGCCGACAGGGAGGCGGGCAGGGGCTGGGGGGCGGGCACAGGCCCCTCCCCCGTCACTTCCTGCCGGGCTGCGGGCGCCGGAGCGGCTCTTCAGCGTTTGCGCCCGCGGTGGCCGCGTCAGATTCGGCTCCCCCTTCCTCCGGACTCCCCCCCGGCCCGGCGGCGCCCGCCTCCTCCGCGGCCACTCCGCCTCTTCCCTCCCGCCGTCCCTTCCTCCTCTCCCTCCTTCCTTCCTTCCTTCTCCCCCTCCTTGTCGCTCGCCGCCCAGGACCGCCGTTCGGGGGACAAGCTCCAGGCAGCAGCCAGGTGAGGCGGCCGCCGGGGCCTGACGGGGCCCGCGCCGGGGCCGCGCCGCGGGGAGGTGGGCGGCGAGTGGGGGCCTAGGCCTCGGCGGGACCGCGCGCCCCGCCTCCTCCCCCGGGCCTCTCCCAGGCTGCGGCGGGACCTTCGCGGAGGGAGGCTCCTCCCGCGCCCCCCAGCGTCGGGGCGCCCCGCGGCCTGGACCCGGGTCGCTCCCAGCCCCTCCGCCCCTTGTGGGGGCCAGAAACAGGTGCCACGCCGTCTTCTTCCCTCATTCCTCCTCGCGCGCGGGGTGCGGAGGCTGCTCCCGGGCCGGGGACCCGGGGTCCCCGCGTCAAGCCCCCCGAGGGGCCGGAGCGCCTGAGAGAACCCGGCCGGGTCCGGGGCACAGTAGTTGGGAGCACTGCCGCTTAGGTGTCCGACGCGGGCTGGAGTCCCACCTGTGCCTTTTTTAAGGCAAATCACTTAAACTCCCTGTGTCTTCGTTGGAAAAAAAAAAAAAAGGTTGGGGGGGCTAATATGAGGTCCCGGCCTCTTAAGGTTGTTAAGGTTCCGTGTGAATTGGGGCGTATAAAAGCGCTTATCAAAGTGCCAGACCCACACGGCGTGTCCCCATAAACCATCTGCATAATTTATTAGCGTGATATTACCGTAAGCCATAACTTCGTGGGTCGAGTGGACCAGAAGTTGACCTCCCTCCTCCTCCCTGTTGGGGTTTCCTGAGAGGCAGACGTGTCCAGCATGCCCCCTTGCAGCGCCGATTTATTTATTTATTCGGGGAGTTATAATAATATCGGGAAGGAGTGTCCATTTATTTAATCGGGACGCTCTGTGAGCAGGCAGTCTGCAAAAGATGCTGTTCTTGCCATCTCCTCGGCCGAGCCAACGGCCCGGATTGTCACCAGCTCCCTGTTTTCTTGCCATCACCAGGCTTCTTGTTGTCATTCCATTCCCGGGAAAGTTGCTGGCAGAAGCTTTTCCTTGAGTTCAGCAAACCTCTTCGGAGCTCTTGCTGCGTGTCAGGCTCTGGAGGGGTGTGTGTGTGTGTGTGTGTGTGTGTGTGTGTGTGTGTGAAGCTGGAAAATGTCTGTCTGTCCTTTCTTGCGCTATATCTCTAACTTCTAACTTTTTTTTTTCGCTGCAGCTGTGCTTTTTTATTCCCTCGTCCTTGTTGGCCGACTTTCCTTTTAAGCCCTTGCCCCACCTCCGTGTCGCAGTATTGCTTATGTGGAAGTTTTCTTCTTCTGTTCCGGCGAAGATGTGTGCCTCAGTCTGTTCTGCCCCTGTTCTTTGGCTTGTGGGGACATTTTTAAGGTCACTCTTGCATTCTGCCTGTAGCTTTCATTGTTTGGACGGTGATGGGAATAGGTAAACCAGATTTTTTTTTTTTTTTTTTTTTGGTTGATTTTGGGCTCTCAGGAATCGTGGTGCTTGCCAAATGTAAATTACATTGCTGCTTGTTGAAGTAAAAACTAAAAATACAGTTGGATTGTACAGGGAGCAGTTTTCAGTCATCCTGGTGACAGGTGGGATTTATAAAACAGCAACTCTAAGAAATACCGAGTTTCTCTTAATTCTGTACTTAGTGGTTTAGGTGTACCTTTCATTAAGGAAATGCAGTTTACGGAGGTTCACATTTACAAATGACTAGGGTGTGTGTGTGTGTGTGTGTGAGTGAGTGGGAGTTCTAGTCAGTGATTCTCCTGTACTCTAGGTAGATTTTCTTACTGACCTTAAAACTGTTTTAATTTACACCCACCTCTCAATAACTCACGATGCAAAATGGCCTCTCTGTTTTTGACTTTTTCTTAGAATTTTCTGACATAGTCTTACCATCATTTCTAGTTTAAAATCTTTGTTTGGATGACTCTTAAAAATACCCAAATAAACAACTATATAAGCAAAAGAATACATAGCAATGTTTTCTGCCACATCACAAATTGTAATATTTGGGAAAAGTTTTAATACTGCAGTAGGTAACCTACTTTAAAAAGAAACAAAACTTTTTATTATGGAAAACATAACAAAACTCAAGTAGTATGGTGAATCTCCATATACTGGTCACTCAGCTTTGACAGTTGATTAATTATAGCCGGGTCAACTAGATTATTTTGAAATAAATCCTTAACATATAATTTTACCAGATTGCCCCAGACTCTTAATCTGTCACAAAATTTACTTTTAGTAGCATCACAGTGCTTATTTTGTTTGTTGGGCTTCTGTTCTTTATATGATTACTATACAGCAGGAAAAAAAATTAGCAACCATATTAGCTCGATTCAGTGCTTGCCTCCTCCCTTTAAAGTTATATCCAAAGTTATACTTCTTTGCTTCTTTGTGTACAAAAGCAACAATTCTTGAGCTATTAATGATTGTAATTGAAAAGCAATCAGAAATACAGATATCCCTAATCCTGTTTTGGTGGAGAGACCTACCTGTTAAATCACTTTTTATGGAGGATAGCTTTGTATCAAAGTTAAACAACAGTTAATAATTCATAATAGCTTTCAAAGTTTCTTTACAGTTCTTGTGTAAATATGCTGCTATTACCTTAGGTTAAGGATTAAGCAAAGGATATTTGATTTCAAAACTGTTGTAGAATTATTTTCCAAAGACCCCATCTTCCCATCTGCTGTATTTATAAACAAATTTAGTAAATGTGAATTCATTGCATAGATATTCATGTTTTTCTTTCTTGCTTAAAGGAAGTCTGTCCTAGAATGGAAGTTGACAGGAATATTGTTTGTCATTATTAATTTTCACATTTCTGGTCATGAACAGTTTCCAGCTTTTAGACCTGTAACATTGTTGTTTCAGTTATGTAGGTTTATTTTTTAACTTGATCAGGTATGGCAAAATGTGTGTTATGTTTCAGTTATTACAACCTGAGAGATGGGGAGGGATATGCATACCTCTTAAAATTAACTTAGGGGGATAATCTAATTTGGTGTCTAAGAAAGAACACAAAATGTATTTTATTTTAAAAAAATGCTTATGCCCTAGCCTGTTTGGCTCAGTGGATAAAGCGTTGACCTGTGGACTGAAGGGTCCAGTGTTCGATTCCAGTCAAAGGCACATGCCCAGGTTTCGGGCTCCATCCCCCATAGGGGCTGCAGGAGGCAGCTGATCGATGACTCTCATCATTTATATTTCTATCTTTCTCTCCCTCACCTTTCCTCTGTGAAATCAATAAACATATATTTAAAAAAAAATGCTTAGTACTTCCTAGTTGGCTTAAAGTAAAACTTTTATGTTTTTGGAATTGTTATTATAAATACTGTACAGTTTATTCAGGCTATCGTTCTCTTTTAAAATTCAGCCAGAAAGCTCTTTTATATACAGATTATCTTAAGTTTAAAAATGAGCATGACTCAGAATTCCTTCCCCTCCTCCAATTCTGAAGTCCAACCATTAACATTATTCTGGGTGTAATCATTAAACATGAGAATATCCTGTGCTACTTCATCCAGAGTCTCTTCCCCCATAAAACCATGAAGAAGTATTTAATCTAGAGGCATAGAGTGGGTCTCAGCTTACAGGGCAACTTTCTCTGATGCCCTTTTACTGGATGGAGTGAGAGTGAAACTTACCGGTATAAATATGAAACGTTCATGAAAACGGTATCTTTTTGTGGGATGTCATAGGGCCTTGTTTTTATTAGCCTCCAAACTGGATCATATTTCACGTCCAACTTAGTGACACAGAATTGCTCAATTTGGGGAAATGTAAACTCCTCCCCTCACATGAGGAGCTTTTGGCCTTGCTCTTATTTTGGATTTTGGAGCCTGCAGAAGTTTTTAGAGAATTTTATGACAGATTTTGTTCTCCATTAGACCTATGACAGGTTATTTTAAATTAACTTGTGGAGGTGGAGACTTTTGTGGTTAATATGCTCTGGTACAATTTACTACTTGAACTTTTCCTTAAATAAAACTTTATCAAAATTAAGACTATATAGCATTTATGCTATCCTGAAAAATATAATTCACAAGTTAGAGATTGAACTATGAGAAGACATGGTTGCTATGGTTATTTTTACTGAATATTTCATTATGAAAAATTACAAATATATAATAAAATTTAAAGAATTGTAGTGCCACCTCTGTATCTGTCACTCTGTGCCATTAACATTTTACTATCCTTGCTTTCTCACCTCTCTTCTACTTGTCCATCTCTTTTAAATGTTTTTTTTTTAAATTGATTTCAGAAAGAGGAAGGGAGAGGGAGAGATAGAAATATCAATGATGAGAGAGAATTATTGATAGCTGCCTCCTGCATACCCTCCCCTGGGGATTGAGCCCACAACCCGGGCATGTGCCCTAACCCAGAATTAAACTGTGACCTCTTGGTTTCTGGGTCAGTGCTCAACCACTGAGCCATACTGACTGGGTCAGAACTAAGCCTTTAAAAAAAAAAAAAAAAAAAAGTATTTTTATTTATTTCAGAGAGGAAGGGTCGGGGGAGAGAGAAACATCAATGATGAGAGAGAATCACTGATTGGCTGCATAGTGGGGACCTAGCCTGCAACCTGGGCATGTGCCCTTGACCAGAATTGAACCCAGGACCCTTCAGTAAATGCACTATCTGCTGAGCCAAACTAGCTAGGGCCAGAACTCTTTGCTTTTTTTTTTTTTTTTTTTTTTTTAACATATTTTATTGATTTTTTTACAGAGAGGAAGGGAGAGAGATAGAGAGCTAGAAACATCGATCCACTGGGGATGTGCTCGCAACCAAGGTACATGCCCCTGACTGGAATCGAACATGGGATCCTTCAGTCCCCAGACTGACGCTCTATCCACTGAGCCAAACCGGTTTCGGCAACTCTTTGCTTTTTAAAGGAAATTGTTTAATGAACCAAGATGTGCTTATCGATAAATCAAGTATTAAAACCTTGAATAGCCGAAACCGGTTTGGCTCAGTGGATGGAGCGTCGGCCTGTGGACTGAAGGGTCCCAGGTACAATTCCGGTCAGGAGCATGTACCTTGGTTGTGGGCATGTCCCCAGT